AGGGGGCTCAGCTGCACTTTCCCCCTACCTGTGCTGGTCAGTCCCGAGCGGCACATGACTCCACCACTGCTTCTGCTGGCTGGTGCAGACCCGGCCTGGCTCCTCTCATCCCCAGCAGCACATGAGAAGCCAGTTTTCAGCTGCCAGCAGAAGAACTATACACTGTATTATAGTGAACAGCTAATAAATTGAGAAAAGGCTGGTAAGTTGAGAATAAATGTGAGTGATTTTCTTAGAAGCTGAATCTGTTGAAAAACCACAGACGTCTGAGGTTTAGACTTCTCAACCTAAGAAATATCTTATTTGGTCTAGAAGATAAAAAGCTAAATCTGAAATATCATATTGATCTTTGTAAAAGATGACAGACAAAGACTATTCCAGCAGTTAATAGCAGTTCAAAACACTGACAGATGAAAAGCTTATTTATTTTTCTCTCCCTCTTTTTTTTTTTTTTTTTTAAATACTTCTTACTCTTATAGTTGATAGATTCAAGACAGATTTACAATTAGAGAAAATAGTTATAGAAAAACAGAACACAGTTACACTGATCTTAATTCACGGGCAAACCAACCCCTCTTCTTTTCTCCCCCCACCCCAACAAACAATCTTCAGTAAAATAAATAAATAAATAAATAAATAAAACCTATTTTATATATCTAGATACAGATCTATATATAGTTCTATATCTATATAGATTTTTTTAAAAATTGTTACATTGTTTCAATGGTTAATGAGGCCATGCAAGGAAGTACAAGGGATTTAAAAAAAAAAACAACAGTCCACTGGTACAACCTCATTAGGGCTCCTTGGGTGGAGACTCCAGGCCCAAATGGGACACAGGACATTTTGGGAAACATTTGCACATCAAAACCTGGAGTCCTATTTTAACCTCAAATTATTAAAATGGACAACAGTACAGAAAAAGTTATAATATTTTACCACCTGAACTAATAAGCCACCAAAATTAATAAGACATATTTAAATGAATTGTGATTCTTATTTGGTAAATAATTAAATCTTCAACTGTAATTATGTCAGTCGTAGCTATACTATCCTTAATAAGTTAATGACATGCTGCATGAGCATACAAGCAGCACACCTGTGTCTACAAATGGTTGCAAAGCACAGATTCTAATTTAACAGAGTTGAACTCTGATTAACTGTCCTAAATTGAACCATATTTGCTTGCATATGATATGAATCTTTCCTTCAAAAATTAACATTCCAAAATTATATTGTGTTTTAAAAACAAAAGCTCATTTTCTACCCAGAATAGCAACAGGAGCATTTCTAGTCAGGCAGCACGGGGGACTCAATAGGCAGCATGGTTTCATATAATCTGCTTGATCCATGCTAATTGCCCTTGACTCAAAAGGTTTTAGTGACCTGTTCTTTTTAATGGTACTGAGGTTGAACTTATCCAGTTATTCTTTCTTAAGCCACTGTGCTGAAGAATTTGCAATTTCACAATTCCTAGTCTCTCATATTTCATAGCCCTGCAGACTACTTTTAGCTTTTTATTAAATCCTAGATCCCTCCATTTCAGGTAGTTGAAGTCTGTTATTAAATCCCCCCTCAGTCTCCTCTTCTCTAGACTAAATAAGCCCAGTTACCTCAGTCTTTCCTCATAAGTCATGTCCCCAGCCCCATCAGCATTTGTGTTGCCCTCCACTGGACTCTCTCCAATTTGTCCACATTGTTTCTATAGTGGGGGGTCCAAAACTGAATACAGTATACCAGATGTCGCTTCATCAGTGCTGAATAGAGGGGAATAATCACTTTCCTTAACCTACTGGCAATACACCTACCAATGCAGCCCAGTAAGCTGTTAGCCTTCTTGGCAACAAGGGCATATGCTGACTCATATTCAGTTTCTTGTCTACTCTAACTCCCAGGAACTTTTCTGCAGAGCTGCTGCCTAGCCAGTCAGCCAGCAGCCTGTACTGGTGTATGGGACTGTTCCATCCCAAGTGCAGGACTTTATACTTTTCCTTCTTGAACCTCATGAGATTTCATTTGGCCCAATCCTCCGATTTGTCTAGGCCACTCTGAATCCTAGCCCT